TATTGCATTGTCTTGCATTAGATTCCATTGCTTGTATTGTCTTATATTATATTGTGGTTTATGAATATTAAGGTTGAAATGCATTAGTCAGTTTTCGTTGCAGAGCGGCCAAATAGACTCATAAATAATTCAACAGCATGCCCTGGTTTCAGGCTTGCCTTTGAATGTAGTTTAAAACGGTTCTATGCATTCATTAAAACGGTTAAAAAATATGTAGTTTTGTAATAATTAATATACAATTTCCCGAGAAAGATTTTTTGTGATTTTTCTTTTCATTGTTACATTACAATATTTAATAAATGTTTCTCTGTTTAGTATTCTACAATGATGTTCACATTTATTTCGTTATTTTTGTTGTGTGCAGACATATTTCGTAGGGACAAAATTTATTAGAAAATAATCAGCCATGACACGCTCAATTAAACTAAAATTTATTTTACATTTTCGGAAACGTTTCCACTTTCTTCTTCTATCATTAACTTCTATCATTCTATTTTATCTTCTTTCATTGAAAAAAATTCATTCTCTTCTATCATTGAAAAAATGCCTTCATCGCAATCAAAGCTACGGATAATAAAGACAGCCGATTTTTAAGCAATGACGACGATGGGTACATAGTAAAATAAGAGAAGTGTGGTAACTCCGTACACAGGAACAGCGCGGCTTGTACGCGCCGTGTACGGATGTACACATTCGCATAATAATGAAAGGCGCGTGGGCGTTGGGGAGGGCAAGTATCATGCAAAGCAAGTGTATCGCAACAGTATGCTCGCATACATACAAGTCGCGCTGCTACGTTTTTATACAGATGATGATTGACGATGGATGAATGTATGTAAAATATATGTGAAGTCCTCATTAGTACCCACTGTATAATGTCAATGACTGGGGTGGCCATTGACATATAAAAAAAGGTAAGTACCTTACCTACTTCTATTTATACTCTACTCAAATGAAAAATACAGCTTATTTTTTTTTTGTTTTAATTTGTAATACCAAATGTTGTGACGGATAAGTCGTGCGCCTGTTGGTAAGCGATCCATAACAGCTGCAGTGCCACTCAGAGCTTTAAATTCACAAAGATCTAAGGGGCATTGCCTCTTCGCCCATCACCTCCGGGTGGTCACCTACGACATAAGTTGACAAGTCCAAAGTGCCCGTAATTTCACCAGCACCCATACCCTTCCAAACCGGAACGCAGTAATGTTCATTACTGTTTGGCGGCAGAAATAAGTATGGTCAAGCAGCTCTACGGCTACGACCTTGCCTTTTCACATATTTATACAGGGTTATTTGTAAAATTCTAACAATCTCCCAGGACTTTATTACTAATAATATCTCATAAACAACAACTTTTGTTCCATGACTTTTTACTTCGGCAGATTTTGCTTTCGTACAAAAATAAAAATATTTAAAAAGATCGCTAAAACGGTGATAACAACTTATTACCAAGTACCTGATCTAAAAAGTGTGAGATAGTACTACAAAAATTTAAAAGTTTATTTTTGGTACATTTATTACGTTTTGTAAAAAGTCGTGGAGCTAAAATTGTTGTTTATGATGTTAATAATATAGTCCTGTGATGTTATTAGTATTTACCCAAAGCAAAGCTATGCTTGTAGTTTCTAAATACCACGTCACATAAACATCAACTGTGCACCTTGGTAAATGATTCATTTTAAATTTACGTCGCTTTCGTCTTTGATCAGGATTACTACTGGTAAACACTTTGCCTGTTAAATGCAAGTTCCCTGAAGTTTGTTTTCTTGACTATGTGGTTCAACATGTTAGCGTTGTACAATTTTAATTATACAATGTGTTATTATTGTTCGTTAATTATGTTTATTAACAATAAACTTGTAGACGAGCACCTACAGTTATTGATTTTATTAAGTCGTGAGTATAGGATTTAAGTTGTCATAATTCGACGTTGACTGTTAACGTTTAGTAACTTGAATTATATATATTGTTTATTATTGTTGGTTAACTAAATCTCGTTAATTATATAATATGTCTATTACAATAAGTTTATTTAATTATGATTTTAAAATGGTTTGAATTCAATAAGTGTTGAGTCTGATGAGTATAGGATTTGATTTGTTGAGTGTGAGTGGGGTGGTAGGGCAGGAGTAGTTAATAAAAAAAAGAAAAAAAAAGGAGTAGTTAATAAAAAGTGTGTGATATTCATGTGATATTGATAAGATGGAAGTAATAATAAATGGATAGTGTGTTTTTCAAGAGTGGTGTTTTTTATTTTTACACAGTTCTTTTTTTTATATATTGCCAATTCTATCAGTTTTGGGCGACTCGTATTGTCTTCAGTCCAAAATCTAAATTTTGTTTGTAAGTATTGTATTGTTGTTTGTAAGTTTGGAATACCGTAAAATGAAAAAAAAAAAAACAGTTTATGTTGAAAACGCAAGTCATATAAACTGCCGGTACCAATGGTACCAACACATAATAAACATTTACGAGTTGCAACCGGCAGCAGAGCAAAGGCATTTGTTTGGTGAATTGGATTTGTGGCGAGATAATTTGTGTGGGCAGTAACAATTTGCTTTCCTAGTACTTGACTCGTATTTTAAGCTTTGTGTGGGTTGAGTATTGATTTATGAAATAATCAATGGGACACGTTTTTAAAGATTTTTCGGGTTTATGACAATATTTTTCGTCGTACACATGTCCAATCGTAGTTTGTTTTAGCAGCAGTAAACTGAAATCATCATCAACATCATATCATTTTTATTTCATAGATGAGCAAATTGCACATTGTCATATTGATTAAACTCTGCTCATTCATAAGTCAGATTCCTCTGAAAAGCTCTAAGGGTTACTCTTTGTAAATATACAGTTGTACACATTATCATTGACATATACAATATTGTAATTGATAATGTGATATCAGTTACAATATTCATTTCAAATATAGATCGAGGCTACCTAAGAACTAAAGGGTTTCACTCTACCACGGGTTTTTGTCATCCAAGTACGCAGAAGCCGTAATAACCTTTAGTACAAAGTTCTTGAACCAAGATTTGCACAAAGCATCGATCGAGTGGGCCTAAGGATGAACATGACCAAAACCAATGAGATGACATGGTGATGACCAGCTTTGCGGGATCTAAACATAATATAAATATATGCAACTGTCCTATGGAGGTAGTGGACGACTACATCTACGGTCATTGTCTATCCTTCGGCCCTGCTTCTCAGCTTAAAGAAATCACGAGACGAACTCAATTAGGATGGGCTGCCTTCAATAGGTTGGAAGATGTGTTCAAGTCTAGAATCCCTCCACGCCTGAAGATCAACGTGTTCAACCAATATCTCTTACCTATATTTACTTATGCTTCCGAGACATGACTACCGGTCTCGAAAGAATATGTGCACAAGATTCGAGTAACACATTTGGTAATTAGAGCGCGCCATGTTCGGAATTTCTCTTCTGTACCACGTACCCATTGTAGACATTCGACATCGCACAAAGGTTGTAGATATGGGTACGAGAATAGCCAAGCTTAAGTGGAGGTGGGCAGGGCACTTGGCTAGAAGGGAGGATGGAAGATGGACGTTACTGAATAGTGGCTAAAAGATGGAAAAAGACTAAGAGGCAGACCACCCGTCCGTAGTTGGGAACCATTGGACACGACTTGCAAGTGACCGGAAAGAATGGCGCAATAGAAAGGAGGCTTATACTCTGCAGTGAGTGCAAACGGGCTGAAATGATAAAGTTTTTGTTTCTCTACTGTTTTAAACTTCGTGAATGGCAAATTTTGTATATCAATTGGAATCTTATAGCCCCTTTAATGAATTTGTGACTTTGTAAAGAACAAAAAAGTAGAACTCCTAGCGCAAGAATCATCCAGGATAATACTGCCACCATACCTATTTCTGCGTTCCGACTTTGAAGAGTAAGGGAGCTGGTGAAATTACAGGCACATGGGACTTATAGAGTTTCGTGAGGTTTTCGCGATTGTTACACGTGTGAAATGAAATTGTTTTTATTTTTCGAATCTAAAACGCGTATATTTGTTTTTTTTTTTCAAACAATTCAACGTTCATTACGTCGGCCGTGGTCATGGGACCTGTAAATGGCCCGAAACTTTTGTTTGTTTGAAAAACAAATAGATACAAGAAAATAGTTTGGGACACATGGAACTTGTCAACTTTATGCCTCGGAAAGACGGGCGCAATGGTAGTGCCCTAAGACCTTTAGAATTTAAAGCTCTGAGTAGAACCGCAACTGTCATGGGTAGGCGTGCATTTACCCCAAACGCCTTGTTCGTCTCGTCACTTGACATTATAAAAAAAGTGCAGAACGCGTTATAGCTTCACTTTAGAGAACCATTGCCTGGCTGTTTATATAAGTGTTTATATAACACAAACAACGCGTTAAGGATGTTTTAAAGAAACCACAAAGCGTTGTGCACGTTTTTTCGCTCAGTGAACACTTATGATTTTTTTTTTTAGTAAAAAATTCAGCCAGCTATTTCCCGTGGCTTTCCAAATGTATTATAGTAACATTAAGTAGTATTCAAAATGGAGATCCTTTAGCAGAGTATAGTACTAAAGTACACATACACTATAGCAACCTCTTTATTAACTTGTAACTTTGATAAAACTGCTATATTTTCTCAATTCTGTTCTGTTGCTCAAATCTGTTTGTCAATTGCCTTTTCTCAAATAAAACAAAAAAGCATACGCATATGTGTCGTATATTCAGTTTAAAATTTCAAATTAAATTAACACAGACATTTTGAAATAACAGCTTCTTGACTAGAATAACAATTCATAATTATCTGCTTAAACATTTATAATTAGATAACGACATTTATTTCTTTTTTTTTTTAAATTATACACATTACTCTATTTTTCTAATCCACCTAGAAATCATTCGCGAAATTTGAACCACAATTCACTAATTGAAATGTTACTGTACGAAAGATCATTCGTGAATTTGTAATTCAAAAACAAAAAATATTATCCAGAAAAGGATTGGAGAATCGAAATTACTAGTGCCAATGAAGACGCAGCTAGATTTTATAATAGGGATTCTTTTCATCAATTTATATGTCGGAGATTTCTTGTAAGAAAAGCAATTTTAAACACCTTAAATAACCGTACTGTTCTACCCACTTTAGTCGACATGCATCAGTTGAACTTATTTCATAAATCCCCTGCAATGGTCTCACTAAAACAATTACAGATTCCACAAATTGGACGGCGGCATTGAATAAAAGCGTTGCAAGGTTTTATAAGTACCAATTACACCAAATAAGTAATAAATATCTTTACTTTGAGACTAGTTTGGTGCAAATCTCACATGTAGACAGAACTACGCAAAACTTTCTTTATTTTCTAATAAAAACTAACAAAGACAAAACCATATAACAATTTTTATATAACTCTTCTAAACCTATGGAATATTACGAAAATTATTTTAAGAGTAGAGATACACACTAATACTTCAGTAGGTAAAGCTAACGATATGGAGGAACCCTGTAGGAGAAATCATTACGTCTAACAGTACAAGATTTGGTCACGGTTTGGTCGGAAAGGTCGAGTGAAGATCGGGCACAAAAGCTAATAAAAATAAATATCCATAAATACCGCAGTACTCGCCTCCAAACCGCACATTTATTGTCTATAACCACACTTAATACGTCTACTCTAAATACCCATTTTATAAGACGTTGTGTTTGTTGCTGTGAGCCTGGTACTGAGGCCAGGAGAGTAGCAGCTGCTCGTCTGCTGGTCGTTCTGGGTTTATGTTTTCGGAAACAGCGGGTGAGCACGAGAGTCCATTCATGAGTGCGCCGCTAGATCGCGAATGCTGCCGACATAGCGGCCGCCGCGTAGGGGATTCGCATTCGTCCGACATCGCTCGCGTAACCGTAATCCGTGGAGACTGCCGTCGCCGTCGATCTCGAGGATTATCTTCAAGACCCAAAGCTCGCCCCAGCAGAACATGGGGTGGAGCACGTATTAAAGGAATAGCTGACGTTCGTTGCCGGGTCGGTTCGTCGTCTTGCGAGTCTTGTAACACGTTACAAGACGCGGCGCGCGGTGCGGGACGCTCTGAACCTCTCGAGCCCACTGCAGCTGCGTCAGAGAGTCGTCTCGTTGTTAGTGGCCGTATGCTGCCTGAGCCAGCGGATAGAGATGGTCGTCGTGACCCGCAAGCACTAGGTGTTCGCGCCTGAATTTCTTGTGTCACCTCACTTTTTGTCAATCGTTTTCTTCTATAGTTCCGAAGTGAATCACGAAGAGCCCGACTTCTGATTCCGTATAGAATACTATTGACTGGTGGCGCAGCTGCCAAGAGAGCTGCTGACAAAGCTGCCAAAGGCTGTGGTGGCACTGATATGGCTGGCCATATTAAGACGCAGTAATATGGGAAGTAGAGTATCGCCAGGGATCCAAGTGGCTGTAGGACGGCGGAGAGAGCTCGTCGTTTTGGCGGGGGCGGCGGAGCAAAAGGGTTGCGCTGATGGGTAACGGTCACTTGAGCTGATAACGTAACTTCATAAATGGCTGCTGCGATTCTATGTCGATGGTAACGAGCAATTCGAAGTATCTTCAAGCTACATACAAGGACAAGCGCAGCTGGAACTATTAACGTGAGCAGAGCGTACACTAGACAAAAAGCTAATGCAGCAGGGCCAGCGCCACAATCCGGTACGCAGCCTCCGATACCAATATTGTAGGCTAAAGGGAGCTGGGCGGCGGCTAGAGGAGCTAGGAGCGCAGCAGTTGCGACCCAACCGCTAGCTACGCAGATCATCACCTGAAAATGAAAGGGAACTAAATTAGTAACGTACGTTAGAAGTTGCATAGCTCTTAAATACAATAATATACAGTAACGTATTGAAATAAGTACAGTCAAGAGCACACCAGGTTTGACACCTTGAAACCCTAGGAATTTTGGACCATTCTTATAATAAGCAGCATAGAGTTGAATATTAATCTTGAGTGTCGTTTTTGACCCGTTCTTGACCCTGTACAATTACTCTTAATAACTTTCAATCCCACGTGTTTCTTATTTGCATTTCAATCAACTACACACTTCATTTCCATAGCATAAATTTCAAAGAGACTTTTGTGCAGATTATCGCTTAGATATGTACTACCAACATATACATTTTCGTCTATAGTATAGTGCTCATATCTAAGAAAAGCTAGACTGTACTATGGCAAGTACAAGCGAGTACGTACCTTCTTCGCAGAGACAATGGCAGCATAGTGCAACGGCGCGGCGATGGCGGCCGCGCGATCGGCGTGTAGGCCGCAGACGGTCCATAGCTGCAACGGATGCAGCGCATGTAACAATGCGCCGCATGCGCAGGCGCCCCCGCTGCCTCCGCCCCAGCACAGCGCTGCGCCACTCGCCAGAGCTCCAACAGCGCCTAGATGCACCAGAAGCACCGACGACGCTGAGGCTGGCTGAAAGGACAAATTTCGATTTAATTATATATATAATAATAATAATAATAACGCACACACTCAACATAGCCCCGCACTAGAGAAATTCTGTGTCGCGGATGCTATGGACACACACATAGATAACCACAAATTACACCCAAACTCACGAGAGAAATAAATGTAGGCCATATAAATATTTCTCCCGGCCCGGGAATCGAACCTGGGACCTCTGCGTGGCAGTCCGGCATGGTAACCGTTCGGCCACGGAGGCAGTCACATTATTAGTTACTTAATTGAATTTAAGTACCATGATAAGTTATTTTGGACAGGTTTTTTATTTTTCTTTAGTAGTACAAAGGCGATCGAAAACAAAGAAAAATTCTATCGACCGACAGGACTTCGAACCTACGACCACGGGATTGCGTCCCCACGCTCTTCCAATCGAGATACAGGTCGAGTTAACCAAATTGATGAAATTCTTCTGAGCCTATTGTAAATCTTTGCATAGAGTTTTCAGCTTTCGACGCCATAAGCGACTTACATTCCCCCGATATTAAAGGGAAGCCAATAAAGTATTATTTTCGATGTAACGCCAGTAGCAGAATACATGAATGGCCTATAAGTAGAACCAAGTAATATTGTTTCTCCAATCAATATTTGAAAGTTAAATAGATTTATTTATTACATTATGCATCGGCATAATAAATAAGTAATTTTTCTTCCACCATACCAACCATTTCTTTATGCAAGTAGCATAGCATAGGTTTCCTAGGAGACGCCTCAGTTCGAATCCTCGAAGAATTTTTTTCTAATTGTTCGTAATAATTATATAAATAATTATAAAATTATTAACACAAAGAACTTTTTAGAAAATTATAACTTTTTTTTATAAAAAAAACCAACCTCAAGAGTTTGTGTTAATGTTTGAATGTAATTCTCGTCCATTTATAAACCGATACATCTCCCAATTTGCCATCCTTAAAGGTGGAATATTTTCTACAAATTTGAATGGAACTGCTGCTGAGGTTTCCAACAATAATAAATATATTAATTCCAATCGGTTTCCAAATATTGGAGTAATTGCGTAATATTAGAAAAAAATACAGTCAAATTGATTTTTTGGTAAAGATTTATCAAATTTTATACATTCAAACGTTAAAAGAGACCTGTCAGCATTTGACGCAATATTATTCATATCAGTTCCATATCTATTTATTATACAGGGTGTAAATTTGAGACGGGACAGCAAGGCCACCCAAGCAGCACACCCATATCTAAATATATACTAAAAGATATCTAATAGAATTTAATTCGATTGAATATTTTAAGAGTTCAAATTCCCTCAAGAAGGTTTCTAGATAATTTAAAGTAAAAGTGGGCACAACTTTATTAGTAGATCACAAGAGTGCTTTGAGAAACTATCTGTAGGTAGTGTTAAGAGTCATTCTTATCTTTTTTCTGAAGTAACCCTTCTAGAATGCTACAAGACCATTTGTAGAATGTAGACAGTTTTTATTTAGTCTTGTAGATAGTTGTTAGATAATTTATAGTCTATGATAGTTTTCTTAGTAATGCTATTTTAAAACCAAAATACTAAAGCGTAACATAGGTAAAGACAAACATAGGACGCAATTCTCTTAATACTAATAGATTTCATGTTTAATGGCTTACAAAATATAAACTATATAAATTGCAACATGGCGAAATTAGATATAATATTTCTGACTTTTTCGCGCAATGTTTAATCGGTTAGAAAGCGTAAATTGACGTGCGACTTTAAATACATTGTGAAAAGTGATATAAAAGCTGTCATAAAAGTAATGCGCTCGCTAAATTTTAAATATTTAAGTATAAAATATAAACTTAATAAAAATACAGTTATCGATTTTCGGTTTTTAATTTATAGTAAGCTTAAATATACAAAATAAGTCACAAAACAAACCATTTCCAAGAAGTTCCAGGCTTTTTCAGTTTAGATTTACTTTTTAAAAAGAAAAAAAAAATTTCTCGGCTACTTCATAGTCATTCTTTAAAAATAAAAATGGCGATAAGAATTTAAAGCTTTTTTCAAAACACAGTTGGGAGCATTTTGTCTATAGCTTTATCTATAGAAAAACTTTAGAATACGAAAAGATTATTTTTACTCGCTTTAGTGTAGTTGAACTTGTCGAAGAATATTCCTCGTATGAAATTTTTATGATTGTCTACAAAACGCGATGTTTCTTAGCGATTGTTTCTTTTGACAGTATTGCAAAACCCTTATAAGGTTTTACCAAATAATGAGCGCTTTATGCATTAAAAAACTTTTGAAAACCCTAAATCAAAAAACAATTGAAAAAAATACAATTTGTCGCAAAAAAAACGTTATTCTGCATAAATGTATGGAATTTGTTATAATATGACTAGAAAGGTGGATAAATTTACTATCATTTAAATATAAGAATTATTTTAATGACATACCTAACTTATGATGGAAGAAATAAAATTTTCATTACAAAATTGAGGTTATTTCTTCACGCCAACCACATTTCACACAATGATTTCACTGTATTCTATTGATAAACGGCACAATATACACAACATTGAAGTACAGTAGTTTACGCGCTCATTTCAATTGTTTTTATAATTTCACAACACGGAATTACTTCACAATGTTTGTTTATTTGTCAACAAACAAATGCCGGCCATGACAGGCTCGAGCGCGAATTACGACTATTGTATCCAGGGTTGCCAATTTGTAGGGAATTCCCATTGACTTACAAATAAATGGACGACGGGTCTAATACAAAAACCACGAAAAAAATGTCCCAAGTCAACCTATTTTAATGTAGTGACATGTAAAGGAATATGAAAAAGCTAAAACATTGAATTTAAATTGTAATTTCATCGCCGTACTGTCTAATTTTGCTTGCAACAATTGAAAGGCGCAAAAAACACCATATTCAGCTTCTACTGGAAACTTACCAAAATGCACCATATGTAGCTTCTAGTGAAAAGTACTTGAACACAGGTATAATGGAATAGCCTTTATTATTTATAAATAAATTTTATATGTAAATGTTGAATTTTATACAATGCCATTCATTACGAGCTAGGGGTGTCTGATTTTTTTTCTCGAGGTTCGAGAATTCTCGTACCCGATTTCTCGAGTTATTCGAGAATTTTTTTAAAAACCGTAAAAAATCAGCTCAATGAACTATAAAACTAAATGTGAACTTTCCAAAGTTGTTTTGGCCTGGGTGTTCTGAGTTGTGCCCCGAAATAAATTCCATCGTTCTTGGTCCCAGGTTCGATTCCCGGTAGAACCAATTTCGGAAATGAACTTTTTGTAAATTGGTTCTGCTCTGGGATTCTGTTGTTCTGATACTCATGGGGAGTATGTACAGAGAGTTCCCTAGTTTCAGACCAGGTGACCAGGTGTCTTACAATAGAATATCAACACCAGAACCATTTAGAAAAGTTAATTTTTTAAATTGATCCTACCGGTATAGAACCCGGGAACTTCTCATCCAGTGCCCACAGTGCAAACCGTTAGGCTATCAAGGTTGTACTATTTGTATTATTATGCATTGTTTGCATGTGAAAGCTACAAATTGCTTAAACTTTAAAAAAAATCCTATTTAATTTGCAGTGTCAATCTGCTTCAATTACCTTCTTTGTTTCTTAAGTTAGTATATTTTGTCATTCATTCAACTTTTGATTTTTAATGCATTTTGGCGGTGTAAGATGTTCTCTGTTAATACTTGTCACTTTCTTCTTAAGTTCAAGCTATGTTTACTGGATAAATTCCTGTATTCTCTCCTTTCTATGCACAGTGCACTCATTGATGTAATCACATACCAAAGCTTTAATATAAATTTAATAAAATTTAATATAATGCCTAGGCACCAAAAACCAGTTCTTACTAGCAATGTTGGCAAAGCTGTTTTTTTTAATTTTCGTAAGCCTTTGCTGGTTATGTACATATCCGATTGTCTGAAATGATCCGAGCAAACAAATTTGTATATTTTCAGGATAAAATGTTCTTCTCGTCGCGATTCAGCTATTATATTTCTCCATAGTGAGCAAAGTATAGGTAAATATATCTCGAGGAAAACTGAGACAAATACATTTATTATGCCATGCGATAAGAAATGTACCGATGTTTCGATTTTTTTAAATTCAAATTCAACGTAAAGCCAAACTTTCACAATCCTGAAAACCGATTCATAATGAAACCGTTATGCTTTAGGGAGTTTTGGATGCTTATTACAAAGAAAAGACTAAGTTAGTTTCGGTTTGTTTTGTAATATTCTAAAAAAAACCTAAAAAAGTACTTTCGGGATTATGGAAATTCATGCAAACGTTATTTCGGGCAAATGTATTTTCGGTCTTCTGATTCGTAACCCCAAGCCGTAGAAAGAGTACAACAATATTTGAAAGTATTACTAACATGTATTAAAAAATATTTTAATAATAACATTAGCATCAAAGCGACTCTATGAAATTTTTGTTCTAAATATTTCAAACGCTTGTGTTTGAAACAATTGAAATTGACGTGTTGGGTCTCGTTCAGTCTTTTACGCAAGCTATGAGTCGGAAAGAGACAGTTAGCTATTTGATTATTTGGATTGCTTTTGTAATTTATATTTACGATTAATTTAAATATAAATTAAATACTAAGTATATATACTAGTGCATAAAATAACACTTTTAAATGATAACTAAGATAACACAATGCAGTACTTACTGAAAATATTTTTACTGCCTCCGTGGCCGAACGGTTACCATGCTGCCATACAGAGGTCCCAGGTTCAATTCCCGGGTCGGGAGAAATATTTGTATGGCCTACATTTATTTCTCTCGTGAGTTTGGATGTAATTTGTGGTTGTCTACGTGTGTGTCCATGGCACCCGCGACACAGGGTTTCCCTAGTGCGGGGCTATGTTGAGTGTGTACGTTACTATTATTATAGTGATTTTTGGGGATTTTGAACAATTGGCATTGGCAACGCTGATTGTATCGAATGATGTGACTTAATA